CTGTTTCTCTCTTTTACACTATTCATCATCCTCACTACTCATCTTTACGTCTTCATCACTCTAAATACGTTCGTCTTCCACCTTCTGTTGATGGTTTTTCTCCACAAACGGTGCATTCTTCATTTTTATGACTCTCACTTTTCGTGAATAAACAATTTTAGTCTAGTCTTAGTCTTACAGTGAAGGGAGAGTGAACGATCCTCTATCACTATATTCACAGTATCACAAACAACTTTATTTTTAAAATATCTTTCGCCTTGAAAGATATTTTACCAAAAAAAACTGAATCTTAAAGGCAGAGCGGAAAAAGTTATAACCAAATTAATAACTGAATGATTTCTTCTTCAGCACTACCCATTACAACACGTTCAACAATGGAAAATGGAAAAAAACGGACTTGTAAAAAAAATAGCTTGTTTGCGATCCAAATTATTGTGTTTAATGATTGGTAGGGCAAACAAGAGTGGGGACGGTTTTCACTTCAGAAAATGAAATTTATTCATTTATTATTCATTTGAGGAAAAAATGCTATTTTTCTTTTGAAAATTCCGGCTTTGTTGTTCTGAACTAGAAATAACAAATAAAGACTTATCAGTCTAGGCAAAGTTAAGTGTTCGATAATTTTCCTTCTGATATTTGCGGCTGTCAATGTCTTTAAAGCTGATAACACGCTGGCAGTTACGATTTTTAGAAGAAACATTATTGAACACTTACCTTGACCATCAGTATGTGCATGAACCAATAGAATTTCTTCTCGTCATATTGGGTTGATTGTTTATATCTACAGACCACTAGTGTTCAATAAGTGAAGAAATAATGAAGAAAAAAGTCATCGAAATGTGTGTGTGTCTCTGGTTATATCCTTATATTTTCAGACTAAGACTGTTGTTATTACCAGCTTTTACGTTTTGATAACAGTGAAAGTCATAGCATCTCGGTTAGATACATTTTTAGTACAATCATTTTTCTTCCGTCCTACAGCAACAGTAAGAGGATTGCCTCGAGCATAATCGCTGCAATAAAAAAGGTTCTTCTCCAAAAAATTTGTTTACACGTTTTCAGAGTTAGTAGCAACGCTTTTCTTCTCGCGTCAATGTAATGTAACTAGTCCTTATTCTTTATATTTGATTTCAAATACGAGAGAACTCTTATTGCCAGTTTTTTCACTTCGTTTTTTCACCGATTTAAATCATTTTTTCAACAATTCATTTATATTAGATAGAAACCAGAAAAACATGTTTAGCACCACAATATTAACACGCTTGGCTACTCACATTTTTAGCAAGTATGGCGCATTTAACATTGAAATAAGCTGTTTTCAATGGACACCCTTTCTTTAGGCCAACGATTCTTATTTCAACTTCACGTACAATATTTTCGTCAGATACACATCTTACACCAACATCATCGTTAACGACTACAACAACAGACGACAAAACTACGATACCGTCCACATCATCAAAAACTGATCATCATCATGATGTCAATTTTGATCTTCTGGCAAAAATGCGTTCATTACGCACAAGAAATCCATATGCTTTATTTGTCAAAGTTAATTATAATGACTTTAAAACACAATACCCTAGTATGTTTCTTTTGTTCTATAATTTGAATAACTGAATAATCAGCCACATTTGTTTCTATTTTCAGATTTAAAAATGACTGATATAAGTAAAAAAATTGGCGAAATATGGAAAAAATTACCTGATCAAGAAAGACAAGTATTAAGTTTTATTCAGTTATGTATGGTTCACTATTATCAATTGTTTCTTCTCTTTTAGGTTTATATTCAACAGACACAAGATCAAAAAATATTATACGAGAAAGAAAAGAACAAACTGAAAGCTGTCGATTTGCACATAGTTGTTGCCGATGAAAAAGCAAAAAAAATTCAGAAACAAATTGTCCGAGTCAGTTAACTAATAAGTGCTGATGTCCGTCATTTTAGTGATGCTTTGTTTTTAGCGTGTAAACGCACTACCAACGAAAAAACCTAGAAGTGCCTATGCACTTTACTTACATACACTTCAACGGGGTGAAACAGATCTTGGGGTAGGCTGATCGTCCGAAAAACAGAGAACCATGTTTAACTGCAACTGTTTTCTTTCAGACATACGTAAGAGAAGCTTCAAAAAGATGGAAACAAATGTCTGAACAAGATAAACAAGTATGTATCGAATCACTGACATGGTTAGAGGATATACGCCGTTTTAGAATTAGTTTGAGTGTGTTTAAACGAAGTCGTTTTCTCGAAATAATCAGTACCTTGGTGGTTTTAGGAAGTATAAGTTTTAGTCAATATGATCAGTAAACTTAACGTTACATATTCAATACCACTGTTTTGATCTTTGTCAATCTTTTTTTCAGCCATTTTTTGAACTTCATAATGAAGAGAAACAAAAATATTTAAAAGAATTAGTTGCCTGGTCTAATCAACTTGAAAAACATAAACCAGCGCCAACGCAAATAAGTCGTGGCTCACAAACACCAAAAACGATAAAACCAAAACGTACTGTTCGTAAAGCAACACGAAAGACCGCTAAGGCATCAAAACTCATGTAAATTTGTTACTACTGGATATTTTTCGCTCTATATATAAACTTTTTTGTCTGTATTTTTTTTTTGTTGTTGTTGTGTTTGGAACATTGTGCTGCAGCAACATTTGTCAAAATGTTGTGATGAGTTAACCCTCTAGGATTATCACTAGACAGAAGCGCCCTCTCAATAGCAATAATAATTAATTTAAAGGAGTTTCCATTCAAGAAAAGGGTGAAAACTTAATTACTTAGAAAATGGTATAAATTAGTTTTGACTTCTTAAGTTCATTCAAATAAGTTTTTTTGTAATAAGTCTGAATCAATTTCGACCATCCAAATTAGTTTGAATTTATTTAGGAGTGAAAAGTAATCTATACTTATTCGAAATGAAATTTAAAGGAATATAGGCATTTTACATTAATGTGAATCAATTTTGAGACGTAAAACTAATATAAATACGTTTAAAATAAATTATTTTACAGCAGTTTCCACATCTAAAATTAATTTCAATTAATTTAAAGCACAAAAGTATCCTGAACTCTTCTCAAATAAGTTGATTTCAACTTCACTTTATGTTCAATACAATTTAGATTCTAATATGATCTTTTCTTTATTAGTTAAGTGTGTGTACTTAATCGACATGGAAGTGGTCAGAAGTATTTTGTGTATCAGAATTTTTTTACTAAGACCTGCGAGATCAGATCACAATATACTCATTTTTCCTCTTTTAACAAATATTTTAATTCAAAAAGATATCAGGTACTTTCGACCGGCTAGAAAGCGAAGAAATACATGTTTGTTCGTCGTAATATATTGATAATTTTTCCATCACCTTTTATCAATAATCTTCTAGTCATCAAGTTCGGCATCTGTATACTGTCATTGTTGACAGCCACTGATAGTTTTTCTATAATAATGAAACGATTTTCAAAAATATTTGTTAAGTACGAAAAATTGCTATAATTCAAAAATATTTCGCATTTTGACGAGTAGTAGATTCAAACCATCACACCATGCTATACAAAACTACACAAGTCCCAGCTCTCCATCTGTTATGGCCCGGACGCTACTGGTATTTTCTGACGAGGTACCTATCTCATACCGGACACGTCCGGGAACCTTAAAAATATTTGGTACATAGATTATCAGATGTGCTGGTCATCGTGGCAACGTTTCTTTTCTTCTTCACGTTAAAGGAACTTCAGCTGACCCGTTTTTACAAAATCGCACTTTCACACTTGAACTTTAATTAGTTAAAAATGTTATAAAACCTTTATTTTTCAGTCAAATACGCGCAAATTTTCAGAATAAGTTCAATTCAATGTGCTGTGCGATAAGCAAGTAGAAAAAAGTAGTTCTATGGTCGTTTTCCAATTTGAAGTTTTCTAGAAAACTCCTGAAAAATCTCGACCGTTTAATGTGTGTTTTATACAAATTTTGGTGTACAGCCGGATTCTACATATCATACTGAACTTATTCTGAAAATTTGCGCGTATTTGACTGAAAAATAAAGGTTTTATAACACTTTTAACTAATTAAAGTTCAAGTGTGAAAGTGCGATTTTGTAAAAAACGGATCAGCTGACGTTTCTTTAACGTGAGAAAGCAAAGAAACATTGTCACGATGATCAGGACATCTGATAATTCATGTATCAAGCATTTTTAAGATTCTCGGACGTGTCGGGTATGAGATAGGTACCTCGTCGGAAAATGCCACTAGCATGGGGACCATAGGAGGTGCAGAACTGGGACTTGTGTAGTCTTGTACAGCATGGTGTGTTGGTTCGAATCCACCACTCTGAAGTCAGAATCCGAAAGATTTTTAGGGGTCTGAGTTACAGTTTGTACTCATAGGTGGTTTAATTAATTTCCAAAAAAGTTAATTCTGATTTATTTCAAACTGGGCTAATTTCAACTAAATTTTAACTCGAAATTACTCTAAATTAATTTTCTTTGAAACTTCTTGTGACTAAATTGATGATAAATCAATTCAGGACAGTTTTAATATGAAATTAGTTTGAATGAATTTTTTTCATACTAATTTAGGTGAATGTAAAGTACACCAAATGCAAAAGTGCAGTGGAATATGTTTTTGATTAAATTATACACGGTTGGATAGAGCTCGACGAGCTGATTCTGAATATGTGGTTTTTAATTTTTTAAACGATGTTTGTATGAAATCTTAAAAATACAAGTTAGTCCCCGAAAAACGAAAATTTGACCCAAAATGTCAAAGCAGTCTTGTAGGCAAAGACGAATGCAATCTCAGTTTCTCGTCTCTGCACATTAGGAAAATGAGAAGGGTTCTCTATCGAATGAAGAGTCGTCTGAAGACGAATCAAGTAAAACATATATATGTCGCATTCAAAAACACTACTGTTCTCATTAGCCCTACAATCACAGTAAAGTCCGCTATTCTCAGCGAGGAAACAAAATTTCAAAGTCGCGATACGTAACTGTTCGGCTTTGAGCTGTCAATGAACATTTAGGGCATTTCTTTTTTTTTCTTGTAAATTCTATAACTTTGCAAAGAAAGGTCATGTAGAGCTGGGAGATGTCTCATTTTAATCAGAAATGTGCGCGGTACAATTATTCTTCGTTAAGAATGGTTTCGGTTATCTTTTAGAGTTTCCGAAAAACTGATTTTCCTGAAAACCGGATTTTCACGAGTCATTGGGGAAAACGTTTTACGCCATCGTAATCAGCTCATCGAGCTCTACAAATTAGGATATGTCCCATTGAAAGTGAGAGCACCTCGTTAGTTTCAAATGCCAAAACCTTGTATTGTCTCACGGACTAACTTGTATTTTCAAGATTTCGCACACAAAACATCGTTTAGAGAAGTAAAAACCACATATTTGAGACTGGCAGAGTTTCTAGGCTTATAGGAATCTACAATATTAATTAGAACTTAGTACTGAAATATGAAAAGGGAAATTTTAGTAGTGTGAGAAAAAGTTCAGAATTTAGCAGTTCTGGCTTTGTGAGCTTGAATTCTGACGGGATATTTCTTAGTGACTCACTCCAGCCCATCCGACTCCCCCGACACTGTACAGAATTCTGGTGTCTATTTCTTATTTCTATCTTTATTTCTATTGTCTATTCCACTAATTCTGCTGGGTGATGTATGATGCACCTTTAGGATCCTAAATTCTGCTATATGTCATTAAGTTCTGTGTGTTACTAAATTCTGATGGAGATATACTCCTGTAAGAAAAATAAACTGAGTGAATAGCTCTTGAATTCTTCTAAGTGAAAAATTCTTACGAAAGTATATCTCGGTCAGAATTTAGTAACACACAGCAGAATTTAGGACCCTAAGTTCTGGTGTAGAGCGCTGAAGGTTACAACTGTTTAATAACCTATAACCTGTCCTGTAAAAACTTTAACAACCTATAACCTCGTAACCTGTAACCTGCCCTAAACTGCAATATTTTTTGCGTAACCCATTCTGTCCTGCGAAAAATGAGTACCCAAGTTCGAAAATTTTTCTTAATAAAGTAAATTCTTTTCATTTACTTTATTTATGCAGCAAAAAGCAGCAACAAAAGATCACACATCTCTGAAATTTCTGATGAATAGTATATCGTCAACAGATCTGGATTCAACGACTGTCTTCGTGTTTCCAATACACACTAATTTTTTTTTTTGGCTAATAAAAACTGTTTTTCGAGTTCTTATTTCTTCCTCTGTACAGATGGCGTTTAATATCTTTTTAATATTGTTTTTACAGATTGAAAACAGAGTGCGGGTAGTGTAACCTGTAACCTGTCCTGTAAAAATTTTCGTAACCTATAAACCTACCCTGAACCACAAAAAACTGAGGGTTCGCTTGATTCCCATATTAAACAGGACACTTTGGACTATCTACGTATGGAAAAAAGTCGATAGATTGCCGGTTTAGTTTTGAGTTATACAAAGTGGTTTTCCAGAGATCCTTTGAAAACTCGATCTTTAAAATTTTTCCGAAACCAGTTTTTGCTTAACGTATTGGCTATCGAATGTTGAAAACCGCATGTTAATATCTCGCGTCGTTCACGACTTATAAATAAATTTAACTCATGTCTGTTTACACAGACATTACGAATGAACGGGTTAACCTAATCTAAGAGTGTTAGGTAACGTGTGGAAATTTCCTTGAATTTTCCGCCATTACCTCACCTTACCTAACTATATAACTGTGCATTCTTACCATACTCTACTATGTCCCTAACCTTACCTTACCTAGTCCATGGCACATCCATACCATTGTCATTTCGTCACAGCTCGGCTCGGCCAAGAGTGGCAGAATGACATTTTTCCGTCTTTTGCTACCTCTATTTGCCGAACTACGCAATAGTTTAGGTGGAAAATTCTTTTGCTAATGTAAGTCTACTAGTTCTCTCAGCTGTGAAAATTGCAGCTTGATTAATTGCATTGATCAAAAGTTATTGCGAAATGAGAGATCGTGACGGAATGACAAAAAATGGAAATTTTTTTTCAGGCCTTTGAGAATTTTCACTATTACTCTGAAATGAGACTTTGAATGAAAAAGCTTAGTATAAAAAAGTTGTAGAAAATTCTTCGGGTTTCCTTCTGTATTTACTTTTGTTTGTATGTGCTTAGATCGAAGAAAAAGAGCCAAAATATGCTGCGTGACGGAATGACATCGATTTTTGTGCTTCCAATTCAGCAGGTTTCGTCATCCTTTTTCCGATAGTTAAAACTCACAATAAATAGCAATTTTAATCGGCACATATACTATCAACGTTTCTGCAAAAGAGAAACTCAAAGCTTTTTGTTAAAGCTTCTAAAACTCTCTTGAAAAAGAGTCAAAAAATAGCGAAAAATGGTAAAAAGTTGTTTCTTTTTTTAAATATTTTTCCCGATGTTCAAACTTCAAAACAAATAGTGCGTTTTGTACAGAATTCAATTCACTATCCGGCAGCATAGTTTTTAGATTTTTAGAACGAATCTGTCACTTAGTATTTTGCTCGTATCTCAGTTGGATTTTATTCCCTAAGCTTTATTGTTTTTTGTAAATTTCAAACTTTGTCAAGGATGGGATCTTCTAATTTGTCTATAGTTTTGTCCGTTCAGGTGGAGTGTCCTAATATGATGAAGAATTTGTGTATGTACAGTGGCAATTCTGACGTCGATTCGAGTTTCACAAGCAGTATTGTCTTCACTTGTTGCCCTCTTAAAACTGGCATGATGAACGGACAAGACTTGCAAGCACTAAAAGCTTTTAGTCTCTGGCCGTTTTGCTCATGTCACACATCACTAATGGTAATAGTATATCGTTAACGATGACTTGCATTAATTTAGCATTTTACAATACAAACCCATCTTGTGACCATCTATCTTTAGTGCACTTTTCTTTTCGATAATAAGCTTCACAGAAAAGCTGTTAATTGAAGGTGGAAAACCAAGTTGTATAAATAATGTGATTAGAAAATGTCATGCGGAGAGATGGGAAGAAATATCAAATCTCTCATTTTATCCAAGCGATAATTTGTAGGGTCATTCGACGTGTGAAGTACGTTAATCTCATGCACTTTTTAAATGAGTAAAATGTTTTGCAAAATTTTCCTTAGAATCATTTTCTAACATTCTCTCTTCGAATGCAGGAGAAACGCAGTGTACACAACGATGGTGCTGGAGATAAATAATGAGAAATTATAATCGTAAGGAGAAACTTATTTAAATTTCGATTTGAGTCAAAACTCAAGAAGCCATTCTGCATTTGGAAGCGCTTTATAATAATAAAAAAAGAAAGTTGAAAATATGTTTTGAACACCTGCTCTATAGATTTACAACGAAAAAAGTGTACCGCTCAGTATACCACCTGGTATAACGAGCGGTTCGATTATACCGTGCGAATTTCTTTTAGTTCTGCTACCGAAAAGCACAGAATATACTCAGTGGTAACCGGGCGGTATTTTATCGGCATTGAAGACATGGGAGGTAACGTTCATCGTTCGGGCTAACTCTGTTAGATGACTATAAGTCATTGCCAATGCCATTTAGAAAAAAATAAAAGAATTCATCGATTGCTATTTTTAAGAAGACTTCGAACTGACTTATCCTCTTCTCTCAGTGGGACGCTCGGCCTTGTAACGACAATCAGTGAGAGATGAGAACACTTTTGACAACTAAAAACTAGTTCTAATATTATGTCTTGTGTTTCTGTTGTACAAATCTTAGCATTATAGATCAAGTTTCCTGATCGAAAGAAAGATGTTGTCTGTTGAAGAACTTTAAGGAAAATCACGATAACTCTTTTACCATGCATCTAATAAAGCTGGTATACGTCTCATTTCAAAGAGTGTAAAATTCGAATCAAGAAAACACCCCTGGAAAATTTTCAAAAAGTGGCGCAGTGTTGAAAAAAAGGTCCACATTTTCGATTTGACTCAGAATTATGACCAGTACTGGAACTGATTAAAACGCAACAAAAGTTTCCTATTCTGCAGAATAATCTCGATAAAGTCAAAATCTTGAAATTTACCATAATAAAAGGGAATCCATGTACTATCATGAGAGAGCTTGACTTTTTATGCGTTAGACGGATCGAGCTGAAAGTTTGGGAAATGAATACCCAGGAGAAAAAAGACGGACAATAAACTGCTCATTAGCTATCAGTCTACAATCTGTCTAAAAACTGCCAGTTGTCAACCTGTTAACTGTCTAAAAACCACCTAAAAACTGTCTGGTTTATCGTCAACAATATCTGGATTCAACGACTGTCTTCGTGTTTCCATACACACTAATTATTTTTACACACTGTTTTTTGAGTTCTTATTTCTTCCTCTGTACAGATGGCGTTTAATATCTTTTTAATATTGTTTTTACAGATTGAAAACAGAGTGCGAGTAGTGTAACCTGTAACCTGTCCTGTAAAAATTTTCGTAACCTATAAACCTATCCTGAACTGAGAAGTCGTAACCTAAACCTGTCCTAACCTGTCAGGACAGGAAGGTTATGCGTTTGACCTGCAGGGCTCTATTCTGGTGTATCGTACAATACCCAGCAGAATCTAGTTAAATAGTGTTCTAAAATTTAGTTTGATCAAAACACCAACACTGCTGGTATTATCAAAATTTAGCGTACAAGTGTTTGCGAAATTCTCGTGGAATTGTATCCTAACACTAGAATTCTGGTTTCACTAGAGCTTGGCCCTACTGGGGTTCCAGATTCGGATTTCCGGTTTCAGAGAAAAACGTTCAGTTTCAGTTATCTGATAGCAGCCCGTTCTGGACTTATTCTAATATTTACTTAAAAACGTTTAATTATAAACTCAGCAACACATTCTACACTATAGTGTAGAAATGTTGGTAGACAGTAGGTATATTAGACGATAGATATACGGTAGAAAACTGTTGTAAAAAGTATTTTTATTATTATTGTAATAATTGAATGTACAAAATCCTCTTGTTTAATTAGCATTTAAGAAGAAAACATCCAAGTTCTGACAAGTAAGTTCTGTGGTGATCATTATGCATTTATCTCGTATTAGGAAGGGAAATTAAGACAATTCTATCAAACTCAATCCAATATCTATTACTACTCTCACTAGTCATGGGATACATTATATTAGCCAAAAACAAAAAAAAGAGAATCACACATAAATCTGACAATTTAGATAATACATAAGAAAGAAAGAAAAATAAACAAAAACAAAAATACTGTGTGAATATATAATATTTAATATTGAACAACGACGAGAGAAATTGATTGAATTACTTTAAATTTTAGATTGTGAAAATTAAACATTCTTTTTTAATATCTGAGATACAAGTGGCATTCCTCCAGCAAAATGGAAACAAGACATTTTCATTTCAAAAGATCAATAACGACGACAACAACAATAACACCAACATAAATTCGTATTTACAATGGCACAAAGAGAGAAATAGTAATAATAAAAGAAGAATTTAGCCAAATTGTTTTGTCCATGTTGTTTCAAAGTAGTCACGAAGTAGATGAGCCGCTTGACAAACGGGTGAATCATCCTCATTATACAGTTCACAGTTGTCAAATATCAAGCGTATATCCATTACGAAATCATCTTTATTCTCATATCTAAAAATGCATAATGAAATGAACAATAATCGTGCTTTTGTAAGAATATCAACAACTCACTGATTTGTCTTCATTTTCATTTTCATCGTTTGAAAATCCATTGGCTGTTTAATAACATCTAAATAATCTGGGTATTGTTTATAATCAACCGGATTTTTGAACGGCCAAGACGACTCATTTTTGATTAATTCATTCAATATAGTTCTAGAAAACAAATATACAATATCAAACAATTGAAAACTTAAAGTAAATCGAAGTCAGAGACATATATCTGATTCATACATTTCTCTATTTTAAATTCAACTTGCTTGAACTAAATAAATTTTGTTTTACAACCGCTTTTTCGTTACAGAAAAGCAGTCTCGAGGACTGTGCGTGCAGTAAGATTCAGTTCAAGTTTCCGAGGTTTGAGCTTTTCTGTAACGAAAACGTGATTGTAAAATAAAATTTATTTTGATTCATACATCTCTAACAAATAACTGAGAACATACTTGCACGCTTTTATGTCAGTAACAGGAGTTTTCGATGCTTTTCGACGTTTTGCTGGAGTTTTCGATTTACTAGTATTACTTGTGCTATCATCGTTATTTGTTATCGACTGTAAATCAGTAATCTGATCATTCGTATTAGGCGAATGCGTCGTAGATAAAGACGATTCCGTTAAATTCGATGATGTAAGCATAACGTCTATTGAACAATTTGATAATGAGTCAATTATCGGTATCGTCTCGTTATGATGTGTTAATGCTCGATTTTTCGATATACCCCGTCCTCCGCCGCCTCTACCACGACCACGAGACGAAACTGGTTTTAGTGGTGTTATTTCACCGTTTGTCGAATTGTTTGTACTTGGCGATAGTTTTTTTGAATTAGATATTTTAGTTACCACATTTGAACGGGAAGTTTGACGTCCAGTTTGCTAAAGATAAAGGTAACAAAAATGATAAGTGTTTTTATTTAATTTGCTTGTGACTATACCCATTTTACTCGATCACATTCATTGCCTCCACATGCAATACATAACCATTTTCCACGTTGATGCTTGGCATTTGGTAAGCAATCGTCATGAAATAATTTTGCACAATACTCACACCGATTTAAATTTCCATCATTTTTATTTCCACAAACAAAACATAGACCTTCACCTTTCGCTTTTCCAATGCATACAAAACAAAACCAATCATCAGGTGGAATATTCATCAATGGTGGACGAAAACAGTACGTATGCGTTCCTAGAGAATAATCTTAATTTAGCGAATAGAGTAAAAGAAATAAACGTCGTACCTTTATCACATCCATCACATAGCAATAGTTTATCCTCATCCACATCACTATTACATATCTGACATATCACTTTCATTATTGACTTTTCCCATGCTATACAACGTTCCAATTGCGATAAACACAACGCCAATTGAGCGGGCGTACGTGATTCATTTATAGTACGACGCCAACGTTCTAATTGCTGTGGTGCTTCGTCATATTTGGATGTTGGCTCATTGTAATAATTACTGTTATTATTTGTATGATTAAGACGAGATGTTAGATTCAATTCATATTTTCTAACAAATGGATGTTTTAAATATCTTCGTTCAATATTTCGTTCAATTTCACTTAATACATGTTTTGCTTCTTGTAATGGTTCACAACCTTTCAGAAGAATATCATCGAGAGTTAAATGTTTTTTTGATGATGGTATATCATACGATCGACATTGTAAACTAGCACCAACAATTCTATTACATAAATTATAGATTTCATTCAGTACATCCATCTCTTGCTGCAAACGTATTTGATCCGTTTGTTGTTCGGTATCTACAACATTTAGTGTTGGTGTTTCATCGAGAACATTTTCAACTGAATTTTGCTGTTGTTCATTGGATTCTAAATCAAGGCCTTGTTTAACTAATTTCATTGTATTTGATATAGAATCAAAATTTCGTTGTAATACTCGACATAATAGACGTTCGCGTTGACCGCGTTTAGCTAATTGTTTAATTAATGTACGTAATTCTTCAGGTGTTTGTATACGCCACCAACCAGATCGAAATTCATCGGGTATCGGTAGCGGATTTGGATACTGAATTTGATCACGAACCATTGTCTCAATTTGTTTAAAATTAGTGGTTGATGAAGATGAGTCGTTTTTCACTGGACTAACTGATGTTGGAGAAAATGAATTTAAGATCATTTGACTAGAAAGAATATTATGTAAATTTGAATTACTTAAATCGACAACCGTGTTTGACTGTTCTTGCTTCAGATTATTTAATAGTAGTGCAGCTGTTGCCAGACTATTTAATTCTTGAAATTTATGGGAATTATTAATTGCTAACTCTTTATCACTATCGTTTAGCCAGTAATCATTTTTACACTGACGTTTTGGTTTTGAACATGAGAGATCAAGTGGAGCATTATTATCATTATTATCGTACGAATCGTTTGATGAACGTTTTTTGATATGAAAACTATTAGTTTGATCATTTTGAATAGAGTCATCGCCGCAATTGGTAACTGGATCTTGCAGATCTTGCTTATTTCGATATAATAAATCGGTGGTAGAATGATCCAACAATGACGATTCACTTTTAATGTTTGTTACAATCTTATTAGTAGTTATCACTGAAGACTGATTGGAATTTTTATTATAACTAGAATAAATAATGACAAATGCATCAGTCAGAAGAAGTCTAAATGGTTGCGCATAAAAATCAGAAATCAATTAAGAATAACTCCTCCTCCCCTCGAAAAAATGGTCCGATTCAGCTCAAATTTTTACTACAGATACTCCAGACCCTATCTCAGAATGCAAATTCTTTTAAGCGTTTTTGATTTTTCGATTTGAGAAGGTTTTTAAAATCAAAAACTGGTTTTCTATATAGGATTTTTAGAATTTTTTGAATATCTCGATAAGGAAAGCATATTTTTCGAAAAGAAACATTTATATCCTGAGATAAGGTCTAAAGCATCTGTGGTAAAAATTTGAGCTTGATCGGACCATTTTTTCGAGGGGTCGTAATGTGACTGAATGAAAAGTGGAGTTTTCCAGAAACCTATAGAAGAACATCTCCGAAAATTCTGGATAAAAATACATCGATTTTCTTTTTTGATGTTCTATCTCTACTATAAATTTGAGTTCAACCAGACGTGTGCGCCGCATTCGGCAACAAGGTGGAAAAAGAGGGGCGGGGAGCGGGTACCATTAAATGAGGTTCGTCGAAGAAGTACCGTACTACTACAGATATTTTTGTCACTACTACTATCCTTCAGCGCAAAAACGGAGAAAATTTGATAATTTTTACCCGATCTGTCCTTCATCCATTTCATTGTTGTTTTCATCTTCCTGTTGTTCCTCTTTTATCATTTCATCTTCAATTTTTGATTTTACAGTTATTTCTTGTTGCTGTTGATGTTCAGTGGCTGCGGCTACTGCAGCAGCACTTTCACGTTTAACAGCCATACAAAAAGCCGTTAAATCCATTGTTGCTAATTCATCACTATTTGTATCATTGTCATTCAATGGTATATCATTTAATAACTTTTGTTCGCCATTGATTGCTGCTGTCGGTTGAGCGTTTAATTTCGTCTTCTCTTGTTCACCGTTATCTACATCATCATCACCTTCATCGTCACTAGTTCCATTGGAACTGTCTTCAGCTTCACGTTCATTCACTGGTGTCGGCTCTTCAACTAATTTGTCTTCAGTTACTGTTGCAATTATAGAAGCAACACTTGTCTTAACGTCATCGTGTTGTAATTTGTTAAGATCAGATTTTCGCTGTTGAATTGTTCGCGAATTTGAAAGTGGTATATTTGTTATCTGTCCGATATCATGTCCCGAATTTTTCCGTTCTATACGTCTTTTCGTTACATTTTCAACATAGCATTGTACATCCGATGATGCTTTATCTCCTGAACTTAAACCTTCGACATAAACGCCGCCTATCTGCGGAAAATACCAATAACGTCGACGATAACGATCTTGTCCGAGATGTAATGCACGTATTTTACATTGTTTTTCAATAACACGTTTTTTAACAATTTGATGTTTTTTAGTGACGATTGTTATTCGTTTATCGACATCGTCAATCTTTGTCTCGTCAATCGATTCAATATCTTCGTAGGTAGGTGATGGAGGCGGTATAACTGACGATTGCTGTACAGGATCACCGTTATTCGATGTAGAATTCACTGTAGTTGCAGGTGTGATACTAGTTTCATCGTCGCATCGCATCGATTCTATAAAATATCAACAGAAGGTTATTAAATCGATAATAATTTCTACTGAATCAGATGCTTCTATTTACCTCCATCACTGTCATCATCATTTACACTATCATTGTCTGACCCATCTTTATCTTTTGATATTGTTAATTTTGAATCATTCCGTTTACTTCCTTTATCAAATTTCATTCGTCTTAATCGTCGCTCAATTTCCCATTTATTATGTCTTAATGTTGATAATTCATCAAGGTGATGATCAATATCACTAAAACAAATAAATATCAAACTTAAAAAAAGATCTAAGAAATTATTTTTCTAACACTTACTCAACAACTTTTTTATTTGATAATAATTCATTACATAAAAATGCCAAAATTTCCGCTTTTTCATCAGCATTTAATGCGTGAAATGAATTTTGCGATAGACATTCAGTTAACTAAAAATAACAGAATATATATTTGTCAAGAACGAAGAGTTTGAATGATTAAATGATTCATTCAAAAGAAAAGTATCAAAAATTTTACCTTCTCATCAAATCCATTTCGTTCTCTCATAAATAAACGTAAAATTTCACTGAATGTATAATCATTAATGTCTACTTCGGATAATTTTTGTCCTAAATTTGTTAAACCTTTTTTCGGATGTGGTATGCCCGGATCATCTAATGCTATTTTCAATAATATTTTACATAAAGAATTAATATCTCGAGTGGTTGTCGCTGATGCGATATTTGTCAATAAACCTTGTTGTAAACAATTCAACGTTGGAATGGCTTTATCAGCTGAAAAATAATAAATATTTGTCTAATATAGAGTCAACAGAGAACAAAAATGTAACGTACGTATATTAAGTATATATTTGAAATTATTTAAAAATTCTATAACCATCAAGCAATTAGCAAATGCATCGACTGATAAACGAATATTTTCAACTGGCTTCAATGTTGGTAACGGCTAAACACGGATAAAAACGAACATATAAAACATTCTCTTATACTCATGTGATATAATTTACTTTTAAATCTTTTAATATCATATCCTCAGCAACTTTTTTCATTTCTTTAGCAAGAACAATTTCCATATACTTTTGTTGCTAACAAAAAAAAAGAATACATACGTAGACAAATATAATAGACAAAGAGTTCAGACGTACAATTCTTTTTTCACGAATAGCATTTTTCTCAGCTTTTCGTTGTTCAGATAATAATAATTTCTCTTCTTGACGCTTTTTCAGCTCCATTTGTTTCATATAAAGTAATTCTTGTCGTTTACGTTCTTGTTCTTGCTGTTCTTGTTGCATTTGTTTTTGATGTTCTAATTCTTGTTGTAATTTTTGTTGTTCAATTAAAGCTTTTAAAAAATCTTTTTGTTGTTGTTGTTGATGATGATGAAGTTTATTGTTATTATTGTTGTGTGAATCTGATGACACTGATTTTTGTTGATTAACATCTTTAAATAATTGCATCTGTCGTCTAGCTTCACGTTCCATTTGTCGTTTATTTTTTATGTCAACAGCGCGTTTAGCTAATTCTAAAATATGATGAAGACTTTCTTTAAACAAAATAGAAAATTTTACTTTGCTAAAAATACGACAGTTTCTCTGTTTAGTTAAAATATCATCCCTTCTATTTTCAATTCTAATTGATGACTACAAATTTTACAAATTATTTATTTACCTTCTTGTTCTAAACGTAATTTTGTACTATCGAACATTTGACGAGCAATATCATGTTGTTCAATTGTTGTTGTATTATTTGTCATCAATTCTTTTACACTATTTGAAACGGATGGTGATGGACTTCTACCTAAATGATTTGTTTTTGTTTCATCGTATTCACATTTCATACGACGAAATTTTGGATTTATTGCAAGAATACGCTCATAAATTTCATCTTCATTATATTCATCAAATATTGTCTAAATTAGACGACGAAAACAACTATAAAAAGTAACAAAAAAATTAATAGTATGAACAATTTACCTTTCCATCTTCATCAAGTTTTGGTTCACGAAATAATCCAATATGTATTTTAGAGGAGAATGTAAAATGTGATCTGTCTAAATCACTAATCGTTTTACGAGATAAATACTATATAAAATAGAAAGTAAATTTAATAGAACAGTAAAACTCGTGTAATTATATATACCCGATCAATTTCTTGAAATGAACGTAATTTTCTTCCACATGGTGCATAATAACAAACATCACCACGTACTCCAGTTCGAGTTATCGCACGTACAACAGTAACGCGTTTCCAACTGAACAATGTCAATATTACTTTTTATCTTTATTGATAAGAAAAGCTCATACTTACGAGCGGTTTAATGGAATGCGCACCAACTCTTCATTGACGTCCTCTGTTTTACGTCTCCTCCGAGAATTTGCCTCAGAATCATCTATAAAATAAAATAAATAAATATTGATCAAATTGTATTGTCAAATAAAGTCAAATAAATATTTCTTACCATCATCAGCTGATCGAGATTCATCGGCATAGGGAGTTACAGGTGTACGACTAATTGTTTTTGTTTGAGTTGGAGTGATTGTTCCACTGCTTCGTCGACCATTTGAATTCGATGGTTCGCTCTAAATCGAATATTATGAAAGAATTAGTAACATTAGAGACATATGGATAATACACACGCATTAAAACATGTAGACACACACACAAAGACGTCAACGAAAGATACATCAAATACAATAACTGTACAATTAACGAAAACGACTACAATAATCTCTCACATTATCAATCGAATCTCTAATTGGCTGGAATATCCATGAATTAATAGATTTTTGTTGATGTTGTTGCTGTTTATAATAGAGATCATCCAAAAAACTAGGATTATATGATCTATTATTTTCATCTTCTAATTCTTGTTGACGATGATACATTTCACGTGGAAGATCATGAAATGAAGAATTTGTTTGTTGTTGAATATCACGTTGTTGTAATAAATCGCGAATTTTATTTTGATCAAAACGAGAAGGACTACTACTACCATTTGAAGATTTTTTAGAGGAAAATTGATTATTTAATGTTAGAGCATAAATAGGATCATAAAGTGAAACGGATGGTGAAGAACAGAAAGTGTTAATCGAAGGCGAAAGAACAACATCATGATGAGTAGATGAATTAGTCAATAACGATGATTTCATCTAAAGTTGGTGTTGGTATGGATTAGATAGAAGAAAGCAAAAAAATGTCAAAAAAGTAACAACTTACCAATGCCGAATGAAGTAAACTCAGAGAATTGATAGTTGAATTTGAATTATTACTGCGGATACGTTGATCAAGATGACTGTTTAATATGGGATTTTTCTAAAAGTGAAATAATAATGATTAATAACTAATTTTTCATCTTTACACAGTAAAGTACATCTTTAAATTGACAATCGGCCAATTTGCAAACTTCAACATCATTTTCTTTCATCAATACTGCAAAAAAACTTTTTATCTCTTACCTCTGTATTTGTGTTTATTTGTGGATATTTCGATGATATTTTATTACTCATATCGTATAGTTCTTGTTCTTCAGTAAGAGTGCGTATAGATTTTGCACGTTTTTTGGGCTAAAAATTGAGAAAATGTTCATTTTAGATAGATATTCACAAAATAAATTCTCTGTATTCTTACTTTTGTTTCACTCATCAGAGAATTTAATGATGGAATTGACCTATTGTCAACTGGTGGCAAATGTTGATTATGTTTTTTAACTTTTGTGGATTGATTCGACTTTGTCTAAATAACAAATGAAAATAAATTAAGAGCAAACAAAAAGAAGGAAAAAAAAATAGGATATGTAACGAACAAAGTGCCGGCTCGAGTATAATAGAGCGCATAATAGAGCTAACAAACCTTGTGAAATTAGTCTGTAATAAAAATATAAGAAAAAAAAAGAGATAATGTTTTTAATATAAAATTTGATGTTTACCATTTGTTGATGATTAAGTTCTTTACTATCTAAAAATGAAAAATGAAATAAAAATAATATTTCTAAAATAAATTATTTTTTATATCTTACTGTCATCTTTAGATTTGATCGTTGATGTGCTGCTACTGTTAGTATTCTCTGTCAAATTTCCATAACTATCTAGTAGTTTGGAATGGAAAAATTCTGGTGATAAAAATGGATATAATGCAGCTGGATTTAACAATGTGGAAGATAGCGATGAAAATGGTAAAGATCCATAAAGATTTGATGACGTAGAATTATTTGTAGTAGGTGTTTGTGCTGTTGCTGGTGATAAAAATGATGGTAAAAAATAGGGAAATGGAAATCCAGTACCAAGTGATGCTAATTGATCCAAACCGGGTGTATTAATACTTGTTGCTGAACTCACAGTGGATGGTGGTGTTTTTGATACATTTGCTACTGTTGGCAATGGAGACACGGTCGCTGGTGATGAACGTTGTGAAGATGATGTTGTTGTCAAAGTGGAACTGGCCGAAAGAGATTTGTCAATAGTTGTAGTCAATCGTGGTTTTGCAGATGATTTACGTGACAAAGAAGATATAGATGAAGCAGATGTGGGTCGATTATCGTCTGTTTTCGGTGTATAATGCTTGCCATTCGTTTCATCTACTGGAACATCAATACGTTTTTTAGAGTGTTTAACAGCTGAAGACAGAAATAACATTATTTTAGCTAAAAATAAAGAGAAGACTATGCTTCATACGTTTTGAAGTGGATTCTCGTCTATCTGATGATTCTTGCTGCATTTGTGGTAGGAGGAGAGATGATGACTGTGCCTGTGATTCTGTAAATAGTTTCATTAAATAATTTAATTGTTTAGCATACTCATTATAATCCACATTTGAATTTCTTGTTAAATCATTTAACTGTTGCCAAACATCCGTACTCTCTAAAAATTAATAACAAATTAATAAAACTTATTTTCAGGTAAAATAACGGATATTTACCAGCTGATGAGGGAGTTGTTGAGGATGATGTTGACGTGGGCGTTAATGATGGAGTAGGAAATCCTGTTGGAAAAGTATTTAATGGAAAATTAGGCAACCCACCAAACGGTGAAGGTAAACAAGGAAACGATGACATTGACGACATTGGTGCAAAACCTAATGGTAGAGCCCAAGGTAGATCTAAATAGGAAAAATTTTTACAATTTATTGTAAATACAGGCCTTATACAAAGCTTATACACTTTAGCAGAATGTCTTATAGTAGCGCTGAAAAAAGTTATGTTCAAAAGAGAACGTTACAATTTGTTTCAAAAAAGACGTTTTTGTTGCTAAAACGAAACTTTCTTTCAAATAACTGTCAGTCAAAAGTTGTATGTTTTTTTTGTCTTTAATTAATTCTAAACTGGAGATATCTTTAAGAAAATAAGTTCTTTTACAAATTAATAACTTATATTATAATTACACATTCTGTCATTTTAAAAAATTGGCATTTGTTCAGTTCAGTACTTTTTTTCTTTTCTTTTGAAGTTTGTCGGTCCAACAGTATTTTTTCCTCTTTATCATTTATTCCATGGACATGTGTAAAAAAATCGGTGTGTGTGGATGTGTGCACATATATATATATATATAATTTTTAATAGTTGAACTTCTAAAAAATTAGGTTCACTGGGATGACAAACAGCGAACAAGCGAGAAAGAAAGAGAAGCAAACGTCTCAATTTGACTTTTTGAGTCTTAAATATTCTACTTTTTTGAGTGTCCATTTATAACATTAGTTGTCATGTTAAGTCAATATATCAATAGGTTTTCTCTCTGTTGTTAAAAAAAAAAAAAAGAAAGAAAATTGTGTTCAACATTTTTGCCCATAGGAAAGAAGAAACAAACTTCACATCACCAAACATATAAAGAGAAATCCATTAGAAACGCGAACAACTGTTATAATTAACCTATTAATGATCCAAAGGAGTGTACACGCACACATATCGTTTTATAAAAAATATAAAAAAAACATAAGAAAGGCAGAACAGGCACAGGCTCAAAATCAATTCTAAATTAATAAAACTTATTTTAATTTTTAGGAAAAATAGTTCATATTGCCATGCATTTAACGAAGGAAGATGAAACTTCATGAAATATGTCTCTTCTATTTAACTTCTTGAATTTTTTTATTAGTAGATGTTATTGTTTTTATGTGAAAAGCAGAAAAATAGACGGATACTTACTATTAAACGACAGTTGTTCATTACGATTTTCTTTCTTTGATGATTCTTTATCCATCATTGTCTTTTCATTTTTATTAAGGTATAATTAGTAGTGTATACTAAACGAAATATAAATGACGATGGTAATAATAATATTTTAGATCAAGACTAGTTTAATATGAACATTATGATAATAATATACGAAACAATGCCAATATAATTGGTATGACTAAATATTTTTGTGATTGAACAACTAGAGTAGCAGGAAATGACGACATAGAAAATAAATTAATATAGTTATAAGACGTTGTTTTGCGTGCGAAGAGAGAGAGAATATGACACCGATTGTTGCGAGAGAAATTTCTGTACAAAGAACACAGAAAAGAAGTGTAAAGGAGGAAAAATATACATACACATAGATACACTAAATTTTCTTTTGTTTAAACATCTAAAAGTAAAAGACAAATATATAGTTCAAAGAGACATCGGATATCAGAACAACATAAGAATCTTAAAATATAACAAAAATATAATCAGTATTACTCGTCAATAGTCTATAGAAATATACGATCACTTATAAATGATTATTAAAACATTTCATCGTTTCATATGACCGTTTCAATCGTCCGTCACTGAATAACTTCTTTAATGAGAAAACAACGATTAAAAATCTAGGATAAATAAGTGATAAAAAAAAATGTATGTTAGTGTGTGATATAGTTTTGTAATCAAAAATTATAATCCTGTTAAAAGGATTATAAAAGGGCACAAGAGTATACTTTCATTCTGGCTGATGTTTTTACGTATCTAAAAAAGTCGTAGAGATGAATAACAGATCTTAGATAAAAAATAAGATACAAAAATAGAGATTTTTTTTTCTACAATTTATCTTATCTTAACTTTTTTTTGTAATCTATTTAAACTAGTTGTAATTCATTCGTTAAAAATATACTTTTTAAGGGTGATATTTTACTATACTGTAGTTATACATATGTTAAAGTAGATCACATTACAATTCTATTTTCTAATAACATCTATCAATATCCTTGAGACTGATTAACTTTGTATCCATATAACCATCTTTAACTTTCTCAATTTGATTATCTTTATATTCGTTCAGTTTTCGTGTTATAAATCTAAGTGTTTTTCTCAAGACGTTGGTCATTATTGTATTTTATTTTAGTTTTGTTGTCACAAATTACTATCGAGAATTTCTTGCCTTTTTTGTTTACCCGCATCGTTTCTTTTACTAAAAAAATCTTCAATTATTGCAAGAAAAAAAGTCAACAATAATAAGAAGTTTTTACTATCATGAGAAAATAAGTAGAAAATGGTCTCGAATCGTTCTAAACGGTAGTTTAACTTTTTTTTATCATCAACTACAACTTCATCATATACAATTACACAATATCTCGACATTTGAGTTGATAGGAAATTATCATTTATTTTAATATACTGAAGTCAAAAAAGTTTAAAAATATTGTGTATATGAATGCTAATAGATGAGAAGAGTGTCGATTCAAGTGTTCTATCTCCGATTCATCAAACCTATATTTATTATTGTAGTCTACTCTCTCTCTCTCTTTTTCCTACCTTCTCTGTTACAACTAACCGTTAACTTGATCTTATTCAAAAATTCATTCTCTTTTTCTTTCTCACTCAAATTTTTAATTACATGTTTTACAGTTAAATCATTAAAAATACATTGTAAACAAAATGATTGTCAATTTTTTCTTTTCTCTTAACTATTTGTTATATTTAACATCTTTGTATATTTTTGATTCAAGAAACAAAATAAAAAAAAAAAAAAAAAAAAAAAAATAAAAAAAAAATTAAAAAAAAAAAAAACAAAAAAAAAAAAAAAATAATAAAAAAAAAAAATAATTTAAAAAAAAAAAATTGTAAAAAAAAATTTTTTCAAATTTTTCTTTTATCATAACTATTTTTTTTATTTAAAATCTTTTTTAATTTTTTCTTCAAAAAAAAAAAAAAAAAAAAAAAAAAAAAAAAAAATCTTCAAAATATCTTTCATACAATCATCCGCGAATAAGATGATATTTATTTAACTAACAATCTTATTTTTCTATTACTAATAATGACATTCATATTCATTGTTCATTCATTTTCTGAATTGTTAGTAGATACTAGACAAACATGTTGAATTCTTTTTTTTTTTTCATTCAACGCATAAAAAATCATGTATATTTAAGTTTTTGTACTAATATTTTGCTCACATATCGTGACCTACGTTTATTTTAATTATAACGTTTTTAGTTTCGTGTCACTTTTGCCATATTCTTTTCTTGTAAAAAAAAATTTGCCATACTGATTTATCATTAGAATTATTGTTAAAACTTTTTGTCATACATTTTCGATTTTTTTTTTTTTTTTTGCACTATATATTATAAAAAATTTATTTTTATAGTGCTTGTATTCTCGGTTAAAACTTGTAAAAAAAACGTGTTATCTCTTTTTTTTTAAAAGATGTATCTAGACGCTTCTGCAGCGTAAGTAGTTTAGCAAATAAATAAATAAGGAAATACTCTAAAGAAAAGAATAATAATAATAATAATAGTAAAAAATAATTCAGCAGCAGCATAACACAAAAAGAAGAAGAAGACGAACAGTACTGGAATAAAACTTTCTGTTATAAGTAGTACGATAGATGTAAAAATATATAACTAGAGAAGACTGCCCACACAAATTGCAAAAAAAGTGCATCATTTTTTAATACATACACGAGATCGTTAATAATGGGTACAACAAAATAAATGACGGTCTCACTATTTTTTTATTTATCTCGTGTCATTTAGACCTCTTGGAGCTGATTTTTTTTTTTTCTTTTTTCCCATTGAATTTTTGTCGTTCAATTCTCTACAACAACAAAAATGTATTGAGTCTTTTTTTTTTTTTGATGAACAAAATATAAAAGTAGAAAATTATACGAACAATATTGAAAAGCGTTGAAATGAGTAATTTTTTTGTAATGTAAATCAACATTTTATTTTTAAACGCTTAAACAGTATCAAGATGCTTTAGACAAAATTTTCTAATTCTGTCATATGTGCTCTTTCTCATGATTTATTTTCTTCCAAACTGAGTTTTACACAATATAAACGATAAATTTATTGAAATTTACGGTATAATAGAGAAATTTTGATCTTCTCACTCAACATATTAGAAGAAGAAAAATGTTATTGAACTGTTTGCATTTGGATATCATAGACATATCATTTCTCTTTACAATAGAAAAAAAAAAATCTGAACTAAGAAAATTTATCAAAAATTTTATCCTCCAGTCGTATGAAAATTGTTGTCCAAAAATAATGAGAAGAAGAAAACATTGATGATATCAGAAATTTTAGATAATAGATAGAATTATGAAATGATTAGTTGAATATTTTCATATCTTTTTAACAAATAATAGAAAAAAAACTGTAGAAAGTCATTTTTGACTACAAAAAAATGCATATTTAAACTTCTCGATATTAATTTCTACATTTTATATTTTGTAATAAAATGCTCAATACGTTTTTGTTTGTTTTTTTGTTGTAGAGAATGAAAACGACAAAATTAACAACAAAACAAAAAAAAAAAAACACATCAGGCTCTAAGGGGTCTAAATGACGCGAGATAAATAGAAACTAGTGGGTCCGTCATTTATATTGCCATACCGGTTAAATATAATAATGTTGCTTTTTACTTCTGTCAGAATAATACAGGGAGAAAAAACAAAGTGGGAAAAGAAAATATTAAAAAATATAAACGTTTATTCGAACATTAAGTATTCTTAATCAAACGATGTTAATGATAATATCTAAAAAAATATTAATTATAATAAGAAGATAACTTATGAATATGAATAAAATATAAGAGAGTATTATTAAAAACAGCAATCACAGTCAATTTTGATTTATATTCAAAATAAAATAGAAGAACAAATCATCATTTATTGTAGATAGCAATTCAGCTACTCACAAATCAAAATGGTAACTGAGTAAGCTTTCGAACTTTTTTTGTTAAGAATACAAAATGAAATTGAGAAAAAAAATAATGATCTAAGTAAATCTTTAAATTTTTTATACGTAAAAATAAGATAGAAAAATATGTTCAATAATGGAACGGATGAACTAAATCGTATGAATAGAATCGAAAGAATTGTATGTCATTTCGAGATGGTTGAGATCTATTTCAATTATTTTTTTTATTTCCGAACACTTAACTGTACAACTGTACTTCAACACTAGACGGATCGGTTCACTACTGATTTTATAGTGACATTTAATAATTTTCTTTTGTGAATTATATGCAAAATGATTAGTTGAAGTAAAAATGTTTTTACTTTTCTCATTCAGAAATACTTTGTAATTATCAAACTATACTTTTAAAACAGTTTAAGTTGATTTTTTAGTCTCGTTTCTGGCACTCATAGATCGATAGAGCAAAAAAGAAAAAAAACGCAAACATTAATTAGTATATTGACATAATTACAATCTATTAAATCATGTTTACGTACGCATCCGGTGGATTCTCGTTTCGTCGAAACATGTTTTGATGTAAGTATGATATACTTTGATCTTTTCGATGAAACAGGAACTAACCGTACGTTCGTAGAAAATATTTAAAAATATATTTTAGATATTTTCATCGTAGAACATAGAGCGCACATTTTTGATCAGGAAAAAAACAACAACACCTTAAAACATATAAAATAAAATTTTTTTACCACAGCATGATTTCTAAAAGGCGTGTAAGTTTCAATTAGTCGCCTTAAAAACTAAATAATAATAACAATAATAATAGAAAAGAAAAAGTATGTCAAATGTGTATGTGTGTGTGTGTGTGTATATGTATACATACTCTCAATTTTGGCAATAAAAACTTTTTAAAAAAAATGAAGAAAAAAAATCATAAATCGACCATCGACGGATTCGATCGACCGCAATTAACCGGAAACACATTTAGACAACATCAGTAATATAAAACAATATCTACGTATTTATCGAGAATCTTGTTCTTGTCTCGTTGTTGTTCTTATTGAAGAAGATGATAATAATAATAATAATAATAATTAATGAGAGAAAGAGAAAGAGAGAGAGAAACGGAGAGAGACTAGTAGTTTAATCGAAAATGTAAAAAGCAGAAATGAGTATAATATACAAACACATTTTCGCGGATTTAGAAATATACAGACAATACTTTCTTTTTTTTTTTTTAAAAAACACAACGAACGTCCTTTTTTTCCTTCTTCATTTTTCATCTTAGTCATATATATAAAAGAGAAAAAAAAAAAGACAAATCACATCATGTTGAGAAATATTTTACTGCTCCTACATATTGTACATTTAGCTATTCGATTCACACACATATACAACCAGATGAAAGAAATAATATTTCAGTCTTAAACGACTAAACATTTGAAAATCTATAAATAAGTTCGTTCGACGAAGTCTTTTTTTTTTTTCAAAAAACTGAAGCCCATTACAATAGAGGAAAAAAATCAATTTAACTTGATCACAAAAAAAAATTTGTTAAAAAAAAAAACTTAATAAATTTTTATTGTTTATTGAAAAGAGACGTCAATAATTTTACTGATGTGACAAAAAATATTAGTTAGCAACAACGACAACAGATCATTTAAATAAACACGAATAATTCATAAAGATTTTGAATAGAATTATATACAAGAACATGATGTTGAAATGAATTCTGTTATCTGATTTTGTAAAAAAAAGAAAGAAAACCATATTTTTAAACAATATTCTACAAGTATTCAGTTTATTCTGATTTGTAGTGAGCATGATTTATTGTTCAAAATATACTTTTAGACGGACTGTGCGTCTAACTTCGTGTAATAACCTTGGACAAATTAGTCATGTCTGCGTATCTCAGATCATTCCTCCAAATGCTTACTTCAGCATTATGACGTATCATACAGTTACTCTGATTTGTAAAGTTAGTAAGCACATATGGTGTTAGAACTCGGAATTAGACTAGCCTTCTGATCAGAACTGTGATTAATGATCAGTAGAGAGAAGAGTGATCATTGTCGAAGATTGTCAACTGCAGAAACGATATCGGACTACTCAAAATTGACAAGTCTAACTTATTAACATCCTACATCGACAGTAGTAATCGTAAAATGATGTATTTTTCCATATTTTC